GTCCCTTCCAACCCTACTAACTATGAAACTATGAAACACAGCAGCAGCATCTACACAAGACACTGAATGCACTATCGTTACTGCGTAGTCATTTAGTACTTGCTTATACAACACATAAGTACTAAAGAATTGCAGCAGTGACAACGCATAGGGGGTGCATGGGGGTGCACGTGCACTGGTCCCAATCCTGAGACTGAGCACTCCCTGCTTAGGCGATGGGCAGGCAGAAGCGCTGGTGCCCCCCCACCATGAGCACCAGCCCAGGAGTGAGGGCTCCAGGAGAAGTGCTGCTGGCACTTCCGGGTGCCCTACTTGTGCTTCTGGGTCGGCAGGTTCGGCTGCTGCGGAGGCATATGCTCCCCCCACCTCCCCGACTCAGGAGGCACCAGTTGCCTCCTGAGGCACAGGTGTGCGGTAATGGGAGTTACTGCAGAGTAGTGTCACCAAATACCTTTTAAGTGACACTGACTATACAGTAGCTCGTTACTACTATGCAGTAGTGTCACGTCACGCTTTGAGCCACACTTTATGTTATGCTTTGTGCCACGCAACGCTACTATGCAGTAGTAACAAGATACTGCACAGTCAGCATCTGGTGTCAACAGGGCCACAGGTTTTCAACCAGGGTTCTGGGCCACCCTGGGTGCCAGAGAGTGCCATAAACTGTGAAGAGATAAGTCAGCTCTTAGGAGATAAGCAGCTAAGCTAAGGTAAGCAGATAAGTGTAGGCTGAGGCTTGTCCTCTCCTGAATGATACCCCATCCGTACTGTCAGGCCCCTCTGCAAGGAGGAAAGCACTGTAATCTCTCAATTAGTTTTTAGGGGTATTTTTAATCAGGAGCTATTTAATTCACAATAATTATAGAGTGGGGGCTCGAGCCCAGGGAGGGATGCCTCATGTCCAAAAAAGGTTGAGAGCCACTGTTCTAACAACAGTTTTTTGCTGGAAATTGCCAGTTAGTCAAACCAGCATTTTTTTTTACTGAAATATATTGGTTTCAACAAACTTCCAATAAAACATAGGCAGAATTTCTCATTTCTAATTAGGATTTTGTTTTCTTAAACTGGGGTGGGGGTTAACCATTTTTTTTTCCTGGCTACCAGCCTGCTCTTTTCACACCAACTAAATATGCTGGACATGTTTTTATTGCTTTGTCTCAGTTACCTTGCCATTATACCCCTGGAGATGAAAGGAGGTACTATCAAATAACACCTAGATCATTTCAGTTACTGGGAGAGCAGCATAACTTAAAAATGATATTTTAAGTTTTTCATAAATAGCAACACATCTCTAGCAAGTGAATCATATTTTATAAAGCACTGCTTCTCATTTTCTCTAATCTTTTAACTTCTGCCTTCAGTAAATGTGCTGTCTGTATTCTGATTAAACATATTTTTTCTTAACATGGGCAACTGAGTGGCTCAGGATACTGGCAGCAGATTACATACTCTCGTCTTTGGATCGCTGTGTCACAAATGCAGAAAGATATGAGTCATCAGCAGTACACACATGTATAACATGGTGACTATAACTCAATTTTCTGGCCTAAACATCTGCTTTCTATCACATTAGCAACAAGTCTATTTGCTGTATTAGTTAGTGTCAGGGACTCAAACCCCAACTTCCTAGGTCCGTTGTCTGACCGCAAGAGACA